GCATGTGCATTTGGAAGGGCACACTTGCCTGAAACCTAAAAACGCTCTCAAACGTTGGTTAACTTGATTTCTGCTGGAGGTTTATGACATGACCACTATAGTCTTATACTTTTGCAGCATCCATGTAACTTGCATGTTTTTTTTTGCTAGATTCCGATTTGTTGAAGTATGCTTTTGCGGAATTGGAGGAAACACGGGGTGCAATTCAGGTAATCAGTCTACTTCATTTACTATTTTCCAATGCGTTCTCAAGACACTTAACATAGGTGGGGTATTTTGTGCAGCCTGCCAAGAAAGTATATGAAACTCTTGTTGGTAGCGACAACACTGCAACATCACTTGCACACATTCAGGTCAGTGATGCTGATAATTCTTTAGGTTATTCACCTCTTACATTGAGTGCAATATCTTATGTTTTACCCTGATTGTTGTTTCTTTTTCAGTTTATTCGGTTTTTGAGAAGAACCGAAGGCGTCGAAGCTGCTCGCAAATACTTCTTAGAAGCTCGAAAGGCACCAAGCTGCACGTATCATGTATTTGTTGCTTATGCTAAGATGGCATTTTGTCTCGACAAAGATTCAAAGGTCTGGAAACTCTTGCTCAATGTGAACTATGTACTAGTAATCATCTTGAGGAATATAACTTGAACTATGTGTAAAGAACTAAAGATTCAAGTTTCATGCATATTCTGTCGAAAGTGTAGGATAGTTGACTTATAAAATTATATTAGTCTTCTAGTTCTGGATAGTCAAACATTTTCAAGTTTCTGCATCTGAAATATAGAAAATTAAAGACTGAGATCCAGCACTGTATATGCATGATTAATTGTTCTTCATTAACAGATATTAGCTTGCAGTCCATATTTATTTACAGCTGTTGTATTTGCTCTATGGCCTGGACTCCTGCATGCGTAATGGAAGAGATGTTATTTAGAAATGGACAAATTTTTAAAAACAACTGTTTTTTAGCATTAATGAGTAAAATCGACCATTTCAAATAATATTCAGCAAAATCGACCCTTTTTATTTGAAAAGGGTAGAAGTTTTTGAGCTGCACGGGAGTACTAGTCCCGTGCAGTCTCTCTCTCCCCCCTCACTCACGTGTTATCTCTCTCCTCACTCACCTCCCCGCTCCCGTGATCCCCAGCCTCTCTCTTTCTCTCTCCTCACTCACCTCCCCCGTTCACTTCCTCTTCTCCGCCGCCCGCAACCGCCAGGCCCGCGACCTCTCCTCCTCCTCCCCCTCCACCACTGATCACCACTCTTCGACGCCGCCGTCCTCCACTTCCCCTCCCCTCTCTCCTCGCCATGACCATGAGCAATAACAGCAGCATTGAAAAAGGATCACAAACAGCAGTATCATCTTCTTCCTCCATTACATCCACCAGGGAAAACTTCAGCTGCTGGTTCTTCATTGGTTCGATCATCGTCACCTCAATATCGTTCTTTTCCTGTAAGTTTGGGTTTTGGGAGGGCACTGTTCTAAATGTGGGTTAATTCTCTGTGCGCTTTGCTGAGAATTGGTGAACTTTGCTTATATGGGCTGATCTCATAAGTAATTTTCTCCTGCATTTTTAGCATTAATGAGTAAAATCGACCATTTCAAATAATATTCAGCAAAATCGACCCTTTTTATTTGAAAAGGAGAGAGAGATAGGCTGGGGATCACGGCAGCGGGGAGGTGAGTGAGGAGAGAGATAACATGTGAGTGAGGGGAGAGAGAGAGACTGCACGGGACTAGTACTCCCGTGCAGCTCTAAAAAACTTCTCTAGATCGAAATCGCCCCTTTTCAAATTGAAAAGGTCGATTTTGCTGATTATTATTTGAAATGGTCGATTTTACTCATTAATGTTAAAAAACGGTTGTTTTTAAAAATTTGTCCTTTAGAAATCTGTTGCAATCATTTTTGGGCTTAATATTATTCTCTTGTAAGGTTATTCTTTTGCTTTTCCCCTTGCTTGCTGGAGCAGACATCCACACCCTCCCTCAATTGTCTCCTCTTTTATCAGAAACTTATTGAAATCAATTTTGATTTTTTGTGGGAAAGACCTTTTCCATGCTTCTCCTGATGTTCGTGGAGATGTCTATTGAGCCTTCCATTCAACTTTAGCCTGTGTGTTTACCTTGAAAACTTGAAGAGTCAATAGTTATTCAGTGTACATAACGGTTACAATAAGGGTTCTAGTCTATATTTTTCTTGAACTTTTTGGAGGTTTCATATAGATGTCATGGAAAAGAGAGAGGAGGAGGTTTATCACCTGAGGTAAGTGCAAAGAAAGGATGTTATGAATCAAGTGCTTGTGTGCTTGTCCGAGTGGAATCTTAATGTCAATGGTTGCTGCCAATGTGTCTTGGGTATCTGTTCTATTAAGTCTTGTAGAATCTGGAAAGTAATTAAAGTGCAAAGAAAGGATGTTATGAATCAAGTGCTTGTGTGCTTGTTCGAGTGGAATCTTAATGTCAATGGTTGCTGCCAATGTGTCTTGGGTGTCTATTCTATTAAGTCTTGTGGAATCTTGAAAGTAATTATTTTCTGAGCTATTTTATTAATTTCAGAGAACTCTCTTTTAATCGTGGTAGACATATTGCACATATTATCTGATTGTTCCAGGAGTCACTGAGTGCCATTCATTTACTTTATCAGCATTTGGTAAGTGTCCAAATTGTTTATTTTGAAACTATTTTACTATTTTGCAGGTTGCACACAATGTTTTTGAAGCAGGATTCAAAAGATTCATGCATGAGCCTGGTTACATCCTTGAGTAAGTTAAATTATCATTCCCCACTGTAAACGCATAAATAATCAACTTATGTTCCTATTTTAATTGGCATACAATGCAGAAAAACACATCTGAAATTTTTCGACATATGTGAATGTATATTCAAGTAATGAGCAGGCAGCTGTTCTGAGAATTTTTGGCATAAATTCTCTTTTAGTTTTCTTGCATATACACCAAGTCTCCAAAAAGTTATGGTGAAATTAGCAAGTTAGTTATGTATATAGTTCACACTGCATCAATTGATAATCCAAACCTTTGCTCATGATATAAACCCATGCACCAAATTCTTTTTTGGAATTAGAGCATTGCGGTCATACATGTGAGCAACCCTCTGGTTTCAGCTTTCTGTTTTATGTCCACTTGACCATTTGGATATTTGTTAATCACCAAGAGATCTGATATGTTGCATACAGGAATTCTACCAAATATACACTCCATTGCTCTCCCACAATTGGAAGAATCATGTAGGCACCTGCATTTTCTTTGCACGGCACTTTTATTGATCTATGAACCTCCCCCTCTCTCCTCCACGCCTCCTCTCCGTCCATCATCATTCTCCACGAACACATACACCCACACACACAAAGATAAGCGTGATTACAGCTATTTATGACATTCTCAAGTTAAGGAGGAGGGTATAGATTATTTTCGTGCTAATTCTGGAAGCAATGTTCGTGGCAATTGCCATTAAAATCGTTAATGGAATGGTTAGATCTCAAACATTTTAGAATGTGAAACTAATGAACATTCTATTTAAGCTTGCACCTTGTTGATGCAAACGCGAATGAACTGTAAAAATACGGTTCCTAATCCTAGTTTTCGGGCATCTTAGATGTGGTTGATCAACTTTAACAGAGTGAACCTTTCATATGTGAGCCAACTATGAAATTTAAATTAGAAATCCAAATGCTTCTGGAGTAGCAAATGTCTCTCTTTCATTGAGTGTGTCTGTGGCTACTTCTAGAGGGATTTGGAGTCAAAAAGTTTTTCCCTTCAAATTCAGTGCTATACCTTTAAAAGTTGATTTCTATTATAAAGTGGCTAAACAGCAAACATCAAGTTATTTGAACTTCTTTTCTCTTAAGCATCATTAAATCCCTATATTTTATATTTCTTTCATTATGTAGGTTATAAATTGGAAAACTGCTAGTTACTAAAATAGATAGCTAAACAATCCCTTAAAGTCATAGTTTCTAAACTGGGTATGGTCTGGAACAAACCTGACCCATGACCGACGAGTTTCAGGGAGGGGATGCGAAGTGTAAGACATCCGTCCAAGAAGTGTATGTCAAGCATTTTAAACTAGAACATCTGTTAAATAGTTAAGCGCACGTCCGAATAAAAATATCTATATATTCTAGGAGTAATCAAGGAAGTGTCTATATTGGTCCGGGTACATGTCCTGTACGGTTATGGCTTCACGGAGAAGTACCCTGGAGCGTCTAACTAACAAGCTGATTAGTTTGATGGCTTAGAATGTGGTGCTTTGTTTTTTATGCGCATACACTATAAACAATATAGATCAACTTTAGTGTAGTGGTTCTAAATTGGGCCCTCCCACACCTCCCTTCCCCCACCACACGTGCGTGCGCACACACCCACACAGTGAACTCCAACCCTCCCTAGCTCCCTCCCTCCCACCTCTGTCACAGTGGGGTATATATGCATTTGATATTAAGCTCATGTCTGATATCTGTATCATCCTCTACAAGCCCAATATGTGATATTTAAAACTATATAATATTTCTATACTGTAAATAGGTTTTTATTATTTATACTTATGTTGACGAGAGGAAAATTCTGGCTCCTTTCTTGCTTTACATTGGAATGCTCATTTTCTATATATCAAGCGAGGCCCTTGTGGAAGGTTTATGGAAGAAATCAAGCTTGTCTCACCATTAGTGAGGCTGGGTTTGCTCTAATTTACTAATGCCCACAAAATTTTCCAAAAGTTTAGTATTATCTGTATGTACTAAGGAAGAAACTAGAAAGGAAAATTTCGACGAAGCCTTTAAAAATTGTGGTGCCATGCCTTTCTATTATCATTTGCAACTAACCGATCATAGAAACCTGTGTGGCACATACCAAAAATACCATTTTTGCAGTAACTTGATATATATTTGTTGTAGTCTACATGATAATCCATTCAGAACAAGTCGTAGTTTTAGGTACAAGATCATGACGATAGTGTTGATTTCTCGTTGGGCCATGTTGCAACTAGTGTTTTTAGATCACCAGGGCAGGTAAGCTCAGCCATGTCAAAGCATGATCCTGTTATACACAGAAGGAACATGTGTGCTGATAGTGCTCTCAAAGAAGGAAAAATTTCCTTTCGCGCAGAATGTTCTTTGCATTGATTGCCATCAACAATTATTAAAATCTTTACAAGGATCTGACTTGGATTCACAGGTATGCAGATTTTCTTTGCCGTTTAAATGATGATAGGAATGTTCGTGCTTTATTTGAACGAGCCTTAAGCTTGCTTCCTCCAGAAGAATCTGAAGAGGTATTTTTGTTTTAGTACCTTATATTTATCATTTTATATGTTTTATTTATGTTACAAATTAATCAGCTTCACGTTCTACCCATTAATGTACATCACCGAGATGTTACCGAGATGTTAATCTGAAGAGTCATTTACAAGAACAAGTTTATGCCTCTGAGTTTATTTATAAATTCTTGAAGGTAATAAGGTGACATTAATAGAAAATAAGCTGGTCCTGTGCTTGTGAGTGGTAATGGAATGTCCTTCATGAACCATGCAAAATTTTCCTCCAAGTTCTCGATGAACAAAAGTTGGTTATGGAATATGGTTTTGCTTGCATAAGTCCAGTTTTTCAGTTGTGGAATTCTAAGCTAATTGTTTCATTTTTTTTTGTGTACGTTAAATACTCAGCAGCTGTCTGCAAGCTGTCTTGATCAAGTTCGAGAAAGGTTTCTATACATCATGATAACAAATAATGAATATGAGTTGTCAAGTCTAGTTGTGACTCTTTTTGTGCGTATCCAACTTCCTATAATATCATCTACATCCTGAATTATTTTCTCTTGGATCCTCCTTTCAATATGGGCATTTCTTCTTGATACATGTTAAAAAAAAAGCAGTTAGTTGATATTTGGAATGATTTAACATTTTTAGTATACTGTAGGTTATGTAAGATAAGAGACTCATTTTGGTTAGCGTCCACTTCTTGGATCATGGAGATATGGACCCTAAGAAGATGTGTGTTTATATATATATATATATATTATATATATATATATATATATATATATATAGAGCAAAACTTGTGTCCACTTAAGTGGACATCCACTAAACTTTTTAACCCTTTAGATGTTCCTAGGGATCCTTGCATGATATGAAGTGACTTTTTATTATGTTAAATGAGTGGATATAAAGTTTGGTGGACACACTATTCACTATCCACCTAAGTTGACACAAGTTCTACTCTATATATATATATATAATATATATATATATATATATATATATTATATATATATATATATATATATATATATATATAAATTCAGTAAAATGACGGAGAAGTTGAGGGAAGCAAATGATAGGAATTCCTTCTGCTTAATGAGAAAATCGATGAGAAATCATGAAAATCATACTTGAGAAGGAAAGAATAAAGGAAGACTGAAATATTTTGGATGAGAAAGAAAAGAGAATATAACATGGGAATATTGAAGGGAAAATGTCACAAGGCAAAAACGCCCATCCCCTTGAACAGATTCTAGTGGTATTTGTTAAGATTTTATCCTATGCTCTCAAAGGAAATTTGCCCCTTTGGATCACATACTATGACTTAAGATGGAACCCTGAATCCAATTGACAGTGCTGCACAAAGTGCTTAAAGTTCGATAATGCTGCATGAAGTTCTATTGATGGAGGGATGATAGAGAATAAAAGTTGACGAGATGAGGTTAGTTTTGATGCACATGATCGATAGATTATCAGAAATGACTAGGTGGATTGTAATCAAGTGTCATTAGAGTTTGAATAAAAACTGAGACAGTTGAATTGATGGTAGACAAAATTGTAATAGGATTTAGTGAAAGATTCGGTGGCATTGGTTGATGCTAGATTCTGGTAGGCCTAGGGGCTGTTTGGTTGGTTTCTCTAAATTAGTAGAAACAACTTTCATGTGAAAAGTACGATTCTTCACATTTCAACAATTTCTAGAATTATGTTTTCTTTTTCTGTTTGTTTCAACACTTTTTTAGGAGGTAAGACATTACAGATGTTTTCTTTTGTTTGGAATGAGTTTGATTTTCGAGAAACTAACATTTACAAATGGGAGAGGTGATTGTATAGGCTCACTTTTCATCTTCATGGCACCTCTCCCATTAAAAAAAAAAAGCAAACAGTGGATTTCACCCCATTTCGGAGCTAATTTCTCCGAAATGGGTTTGCCACTGTCCCTGTTAATTCATTTACTTTACACAAGTTCCTTTTCCTATGTTTTATTCCGACCCAAACTATATAATAAGGAACTACTTCAGGAAATAAAATTCTAAGGTTGAGGTGGAAACCCATTTTCAGGGTTTCCACCTCTAATAAAACAGGCCCTTAAAGGAATCTGGGAACTTCATTGCTTCTCATTCTTTAACTTGGGAACCAAGAGAGTTATAAGTGAAGTTATATAGCTGACAAATCCAGCTGCCAAAAAGTTGCATTTTCTTTTTTTAATAGTGTTCATCTGAAATTATGAGGGGGTAGTATGACTTATTTGTTTCCTTTTTATATTTTCATAGGTGTGCAAGTGTTCATTTTGGTTTCGGTCACTTTCAGCATTAAAATCTTTATATATCTACGTGCATGCATGTCTACATGTGGGTGCACCTTGTGCATGTGTGCGTGCGTGTTAGGATAGACTTTTATATATCCTTTTCCCTCTCTTTTTTGTTTGTTTTCTCCCGGTTGTCTTTGTGAGTTCTGCATGTATTTGTGTACTTGTCTAACATTTATTCATGTATTCAAATTTTTCTATGTTATTCCTTTTCTTTCATGTGTACATGATGCATGCTTAGGACATGTTCAAGTCCCTTACACTATACCAAAACTCCATGGTTGTGAGGGTTGATGGTTATAGTTTTATTTTTTAGCATGCCTGTAGGTTGAACGTCCTTTTCATCATCCAAAAGCTGGACCATGCAACTGTATCTATTTTATAGAAAATACGTGTTAAGTAAGTGGCGGGTATGATTTAAACTTCAGTTGCTCAGATCTCATGTTCGAGTTTCCTACAACATCTACTGATATTTTTGCCAATTTCAACATGCATGTCAGTTTTTAATGACAATCTAGCTGGCACTGATGTAGAAGAAAAGCTTTATTGTTGGGTTAAAAACTTTCTAGTAGAATTCAGGAAGATATCTTCTTATTATCTTTTTATAACAGGAAAGAGAGAAGGAAGGAAAGATGAAACTGTAGCATCTTTACTTATTCCATAATCTTTGTACTTTTTTCATTCTTCCTGGTAAAGTAAAAGCTGATACTGAATAATAATTGACCCCCTTAGTCAAATATATTTGCGAGATACTATTTCCTAAGCTTTCATGATTGGTCAAAACCATAGGTAACTAGATTTACATTTGTTGGCTAACAGGTTCTTATTAATTTCATGATTATCTAGCATCATTGTATTGTGTACCTTTAGGTTCCTACTACAGTTTTGTCATTTGAGAAAACAACAATCATGGCATCCTTTTCTTTTTTTCTTTTTCTTTTTTATCCCCTTTAGCGTCATGTATTATCAAACCGAGGACATGGTTCTATCTTATTAATTTCTTATGTTGAATTTGACCTGATTCTATCTTATTAATTTCTTATGTTGAATTTTGTCATGCAGATATGGAAACGGTTTGCACAGTTTGAGAAGGCGTATGGAGATTTGTCAAGCATGTTAAAGGTTTTTCCTTTTACACACTTATGTTTCTCTAAATGAACATTAATTTGTTTGGTAGGTTAACTGTGCATGATACCCTTTAAACTCTGATATTATACTACTATTAGTTGTCAAATCTGCAGTTTCACTTTTCATATGATGCAGTTTCTATTAATAAAAAAAATAGAATCAGAGGTTCTTTTTGTAACTTATACTTTTTGTCTGTAAATGGATATAGTGCAAGCAATCTATTCCTATAAACAGGCCACACTTATGTCGCGGGAAAAAACAGTTTGACAAGAATTGTTTTCTTTTTTGTAAGAAAGGGAGGGGAAAGCACTGATTTTAACATTATGAGCCTTAAAAAGTGGTTTTTGGACGCAATTCGTTTTTCACTTTTCCAGCTATTTATAATGATTTTTTAAACAGGTCGAAGAAAGGCGGAAGGAAGCTCTGTCTAGGACAACAAGTGATGATGGTTCGTCCTTAACAGAGTGTACATTGCACGATGTAATTTCACGTTACAGTTTCATGGATCTTTGGCCCTGCTCGTCTAAGGATTTGGATCATTTGTCAAGACAAGAGGTATCTTCATTGCTACCAGGTTCATGGATCTTTGGCCCTGCTAAGTTTATAAGCCATTTTAATGTATATTTGCTTTGTTTTTTTAACTAATTATTGTAGATATGTAGTCAATACACAAATTTCCTACATTTCTTCATAAGCAATATACATGTCACTAACGCAAGGATGTACAAGAACAGAAAATTTGTGGCGATGAGGGACATTTATACCATCTGATCTTTAACGTGTTCTATTCCTAGTAAAACTAGGGGATATATTTCCATTATTATCAGCTTATTTGATAAAGCATTCACTTTTTGTTTTAGGGCCTTTTACATTAAGTTATACCTATTTCTTTTAGCAAATCCTTTTTCTTTATGTTATTTTCCACCTTCATTGAATTGGGATAGTTGTATTAGCATGATTATCTTTCCTTGAAATTGATGCTTAGAATGTGTTCATGTTATCTGGTATAAATATTGCTTATATTGTAATATATGTGACTGTCTGCATGTGCCTGCAATTGAGAATTGATCTAACTTCATCTGTTGATGTTATGTCCTGCAGTGGCTTGCAAAAAACAATAAGAAGAAAGTTGACAGGTCAACTCTAATAAATGGGACCAGTGCCCTCGGTAAGGTTATTTAACTTAGACATCTAGTGGTTGCCAAAGATTTTTGTGTATAAGCAGCTTAATGGTATTGCTTGGTGCAGACAAAGGATCCTCTGAACTGTTGAACACAAAGGCAGGCCTTTCTTCTTCAAAAGTCATTTACCCAGATACTTCTAGGATGATCATATACGACCCTAGACAGACAAATGGTATGCAAGCAGGCATTGTTAGCTTTATTGCATTCAAACCATCAAAGAAGACTGTTATTTTCTTAATTTTCTTTTCTTTTAAACAGATAATTATTGTTTACTTAAAGGGTTGCTGGAGCTAGTCTTATTTTAGCAATTTTAATTGAGTTGTGCGCAGAATTTAAGCCCAAGTCTTTGCATTAACCAACTGGAGAAAAGTTGGTGCTGTCCTGAATGCATATTTAGTTTTTAGACCTGGAAAATTTGGTGTTTTATTCTGTGTCAACATCTACTTTTTCTGGATTTCATTATCAATTTAATACCTGGAAAATTTGGTGTTTTATTCTGTGTCAACATCTACTTTTTCTGGATTTCATTATCAATTTAATATTCAAGAAGCATTATTCTGTGTCAACATCTACTTTTTCTGGATTTCATTATCAATTTAATATTCAAGAAGCAAAGGAGAATGCCATTGTTTGTCTTACTGTGTTTCAGTTTCAGTATTTGGTGGAGAAAATCAATTAAATTTAGAGAGCTATTTTGTGAATTTCAACTTGTTATGCCATTCAGTTTTGCAAGGCATGAATTGTTAAAATATTTGTTCCAGGTGGTGGTTGCCTTCTGTAGATAAAAATCATGTTCACCTATTGTCTCAGTGAAAATCAACAAACTTGAACATCTAGGTTGTCTTTTAATCTTGATACATTGAAGTAATTACTGTATACTAAACCCTGAACAGTCTGATGTCATCTTCTTCATCTTTTTATCTTGATAGTTGATACATTGAAGTAATTACTGTATACTAAACCCTGAACAGTCTGATGTCATCTTCTTCATTAGCATTTATGCAATATGTAATTGTGGAGTCATTTTCGGTCATGCGTATCTTCTTAAGATGTCTATTATATGGTTGGTGAAGGTCATGTTGTTGTGTTCGCTGTTATTTGTTGGATGCTTTTCAGATGTGACAGCACCTGAGGTCCCAGCGATTTCCAACCCTAGTAATTCTGCTGCTGGTCTTGCTTTAGTTAGCTGCGGAAACACGAAGGCTGTTGAGGAGATCTTGAAATCGATGTCGCCAGCATTAGCAGCTTTTGTTACAAATTTGCCAGCAGTTGAAGGTATTACTTCTTTCCAGGTCATTATTTCTTAGTGAAGATTGCCATGCAGTCTTCACCATAGGTTTGGGTCCAATATCATTCATTGGAAATCTAAGCAAACTCACCCCTAAAATCTAGCTGTTAGAGGGAGGGATTATTAGTTGCAAAATTATGTTGGTAATGGTACTTTAGTTTTTGGGAAGTACAATGATGACAATTTGTCTCTATATGTTTAATTTCTATTGATGGTGTTGTGATCTTCTTTCTAAGGTCCCTTTATTTTGTCCTTTCGGTTTAACATTTTCTCTGAATTGCGTCAGGCCCAACCCCAGATGTGGATTTGGTGCTGTCTATTTTGCTGCAGAGTAACATACCAACTGGGCAGGTTGGAAAACCAGGTTCTACTCAGCAAGCAGCAGCTGGTACTGCTCCCAGTACGAGTGACCTTTCAGGTTCTAGCAGGAGCCGGCTAAATCCAAATGGATCATTACATAGACCTCAATCTGGAAAAAGAAAAGATCTAAACAGTATGCTGTCTCACACACTCTTATGTACAAATCTTATACTACAAAACTATATAGTGGAGTTTTGCATCTATGAGCCACACACTCTTACACAAACAAAAGTACTGTGATGGGCTTCGGTAGATTCTTCAACTATGAGCCTACTTATTGGATTAGTAAATTAATATCTTCAAACACTCTTTCCTCTCTATTCATAGCCAGCCCTCCATCACTCTGTCTAATGGCTTTTTAACTGAGTTCACTTTATTATTCCGGTAGTCTAATTTATTTTTCTCAGTCTCTAATACACAAAAAAAGGTTAGGGCTCCTACAACTGGGATCACTTTTGCAAAGTTGTTAATCAATTAGTTTAGATAACCATTAAGATGGAAAAAACTGTCAAATGAAATATTCTGAATTGGTTGTGAACACTTCTTTGGTGCCTGAGCAAGCATAATGGATCTGGATTAAGGGACAAACTTTCTATTCTGATTCTTGAATTTCATGCTTATTTTCAGTCGAACATGTTCATAAGAGCTGAAGTATATTTATCCTCAGCTTGGTCACAATAATTTTCCGTAGTCAGATGCTAGTGAGTGGCGGTAATTGATTCTATTGTTTTTTTACACCTTTTTTGGAGACGGGTTCTAAAATTCACGCGAGTTTCGAAGAGTATCTAGGAACCATGTGAGCCATCCCAGCATATAGCCAAATTGTGGACCGCTTTCACATTTAGGTGGAAATAGGGGTAAATTTTGTGTTTTGATTCAATTAGTCAAACGTTATAACCAATACGTCATTATTCCAAGACATAATATGCATCGTAAGTGTCCGTGTTGTAATTTATTTATATTAATTAAGGGCTGGTGCAAAATGGGGACTAATCTGTAAGGAAAAGAAATAGGTACCATCACAAGAGGATGGGAGCTGTATATATGCGAGATCTTATGCTCAACACAGTTCATTGGAGAGAATACCAAATTGTTGCCTTTTCAGGCTTTATGGAACCATTTTGTAGATAGTAGCCTTAACAGAATGAAATAGATGAATAGGATGTTACCAACCGAAAAAAAGAAAAGATAAATGCTTTAACACTGTTGGCTGCGTGGATGGTATTTCCAGATCCTAAGTACTTTAGCATCATAAACAGACTAAATAATCAATAAAACAAGTCCCTCTATGCACATTCAAGTTTTCCACAATTAGAATAAGGTCGAATCTGGTGCTAGAATTGCCTTCAAAATAAGCTTACCATTATTTTGTAAGGTTAATATCTGGATATAGCCAGTTGCAAATGTTCCCAACACTGTTCGCATTATATTTTGAAGCCTTGCATATTCAAGGTGACACTGAATTTCAAAGCTTGGGATAATTCATGGCTTGCATTTAGTCAGAAATGTCTGTTGTTCTCTTCCATTTGGTCCTTACCCTTGTCATTACGTCCTTATACCACAAATAAGGTAAATCTAAGACTTATTTCACGGTAATATTTCGAAAGTACCAAACCCAAGTAGTTGAATCTTGTCATTCGATACAAGTAATGACCAGAGTGAAGCATTGATATAGTATTGTATCTCCAGAAGACGAGTTAATTGCAGATACCTCTGCTGTATTACTATGGTGGTGCAGCCACTTATCCTTCTTTTTCATCCTTCCACGAGATTTGAAGTATTCTTTTTTATCATCATTTCCTCCTCATTCTGATAATGGGAGTTTAAACAGGGCAAGAAGATGATGAAACCTCGACAATACAGAGCCGACCGCTACCCAGAGACGTATTTAGAATGAGGCAGATTCAGAGGGCTCGAGGTGTCAGTAACTCACAAACGGGATCTGCAGCCTCTGGTGGAAGCGCATTCTCCGGTGACCAATCCGTTAGCACCGATTAATTATTATGTTGTAATCTCACAGATCTGTATCGTTTCAAAATATCAGTAATTTTTTAAGGTTACGTTAATGGAAAAAATGTCCTCCGGTTTCATCACTCTTTATGTATGGGAAAAGCTTGCCTCCCTCTTTGTTAAATATTTTCATTTTCATTCTTTGTTCCTTGTTGTGGTCTACATTATTAAGATATATGCAAAAGATTCGTGTTTCTTGTTCAGTCGCTATTTACGTGTAGGTAATTGAGATGTCTCGTTACGTAAGTTTGCTGTTTAAAAAATCTGGAGATGTGTGAATCATATATTATCGTCCTTAAAACTGTCAAATTGGGTAAAAGGTTGATCGATGCGGACCCTCCCTTTCTCAGTTGCATGCGCCAAGAATAGCATCAAATAAACTACCTCAACAGGGTCAGATCCATTAAGGGAATGTTCCAACGCTAACCCAAATATGATCCTCTTATCTATGCAACCGTTAAAACTGTAAAAAGAGATTTCCGAATTTGGCCATCTTCAACCTCTTCATCCTTGTATAACTCTCCTTTCCCTTCGCATCCCTCGTTCTCCAAATCTTTCCTATTTTCTTGTTTAAGCCACGGAGAACACCGTGAGCCTCCAAAAGAGGCAAGAGAACATCGAAGAGAAAAGCGTCGGAGATAAACAAGACAATCAAACCAAAAGCGTCGAAGAGACGCAAGACAGTCAAACCAAAATCGTCGAAGAAGAGAATCAAGAACATCAAACCAAAAGCACTGAAGAGGATCAAGAGCATCGAAACAAAATTAGCGTCGGAGAGAATCAAGACAATCAAATCGAAAGCGTCGAAGGGAAAAGCGTGGAAGAGAAACAAGACCAAATGAAAGATATTCAAGACCATCACATCAAAAGCATCAAGGACGAAGATCATCAAGTAGAAAGCGTCGAAGAGAAACAAGACAATCAAACCAAAAGTATCGAACAGGTGGAAGAGAAAGAACAAGACAATCAAACCAAAAGTATCGAACGGGTGGAAGAGAAAGAACAAAATCTAACAGAAAATATCAAAGAGGTGGAAGACAGACATGGCGATCAAACCGAGAGTATCCAAGACAAACATGGCGATCAAACCGAAGGTGTCGAAGTCAAGCAGATGCAAATAAGTTCTATTAACAGGTTTGCTAGGAAAAGCCTTGCAAATGTTTCTGATGAGCGGTTCTTTTCGTTTGGAAACGACGACGAGGTCTTTAAAGGAGTTTCAGGGTCATTCGAAAGCATGTCGGGGATTGAAGAAGAGAGTGCTTATGCCGAAAGCGAAGTAATGGAAGCAAAGGAGGACGTACCAGTTGACCAACATGGAGATGAGAACAAAGAGGAGGGTAAATAATCCCCCGCCCCCCTTCCCCCCTTAAATTTTATATTACTTTCTTTGTGTTTCTTTATTTTTTTCCCCATGCATTTTGGTTGGGACAACTTGTCATGTTTGCCGAAGCTCTAGACTCTCTTATAAAACAGATATATTAAGAAAATGTTTAGTCTCGTACAAAGTTGATAACAAAGTTCATGGTGAGTGAGTGTTTTCCAAATCAGTGGTTTTATTTCCAGTCAGGCTGGGGGGTGGGGGGGGGGATTAGGACAAATTTTGAAAACAAATCCCTTTTGAAACTTATTTATGAAGTTGACGAAAAATTGTCCGAAACTTCACGGGACTTCAAGTATCATGAAGTTTTGTTATGTAAAAAACTTCACGAGATTTCAAATTCCGTGAAGTTTGATATTTTTTTAATCAAAACCGACCAAGTTTCAACCAGATGGCTGAAACTGGGTCGGTTTTAACAAATAAATTGAGAATAGGTCGGTTTTTTATAAATAAGTTTCAAAATGGGTTTGTTTTCAAATTTTGTCATGAACAACTATTTAAGCATTAATCTATATGAAAGTTTCGATATGAGCCTACCATACCAGAAAAGGTAAACTGTGGTTAGACTTTGGAAAAAAACTAAATCATTTTTTTTCATCTTGGGCTAATATCTCACATAAGAATTTTGCGAAGTAGATAAATGGACGTATATGCAACTTCCGTACCTTCAATATTGTTGCTTTGTCTCGGCATTGTTAAAAGAATTAAGTTAGTTACAGTCTTATGTGAGTCTATAATAAATCTTTAATCTTTTTTCAGGGGAAGCACGTGGCAAGGATTCAACTGATTTCAAAGAAACAGAAAAGGAGCCAGAGGGAACGACCACCGAAGAAAAAAATGTATAGGGCCAAGGAGATGAAGCGGAGTGATTAATTTTTTCTATCTTGATGTTAAAAGTGGAGATATGCATGGTATTGTAATGAGTTTATTCTTTGTTTCTAAATGAAAACAAATTCTATGATTCATGTATTACATAGGTGATGATTTCTGACTGATGATTGTTTACGTGAAAATTTTGCAACTTTGATTTTCGTGATGCTTAATATCCACAACGAAAATACATCAAAATCAATTTTGTTCTTCTTGCTATGTAGGTCTACTCCTAACTTTGGAATTATAATATCTACATCACGGGTATTTTACGTATCCGTAAGGGATGACAAAAAAGAAATCGTAAATTGTAGAATACAGCATATACGACCTCATAGAAAACACATTTGGCACACGAAGGTCACAAAATCCCATATTTGATAGCCATGAACAAAAGCGATCTATAGTGGTATCCTTAATTGAGCACCTTTATGAGGATTTTTTTTTTCTTTTCCTGAGAAACATGAACAATTAGTGCGGCATGCATATATTATTCCATTTTTTTAAAGGAAAAAAGAGTGGCGCTTTTAGGGAAAATGTAAAAAAAAATTCTGAAACTTGAAGCAGTAGTCCTCCTTACAATATAAAACTAAAACCCTCAATCTTTATCACTTTTAGAATTTGGTGTAGGGGCATAGACTTTTAACGTGATATCAGAACAATCTAGATTCATAGTCACAAGTATCCCACTAATGGTAAGTAATCCAACAGTCACCCTAAGTGGCTCAAAGTTATGCTGCGAAGCAACTTTTAATGTTGTCGACACTGCGACTGTTATCCGCCATCTCCACACCATGATGCCCATGTACTAAGTGCAGCGCATCTCAGCCCGATTATCCCCAAATCCACAATCCAAGATCCATTAAAAGAAGGCACAAGCTGAAACTTCAAATCAAGGATCCTTTATGTCCATAACCGTTGAAAGTTGAAACCGTAACCTAGGGGTGTCCAAAAAGCCCGGAGCCCGGGCCCGGCCCGGTGTCCGGCCCGGGCCCGGAAACCCGGGCAAAACCCGGGTCCGGGCCCGGGCCCGGGTCGCCGTTGACGAGCCCTGTCCGGGCCCGGAACAGTGCCCAAATTGGGCACTGGGGCTTCGAATGGCCGGCCCGGCCCGACCCGGCCAAAACGGTCACAAACGTGACTCGAGGGTTTTTTGGTCATTTACCTAGGGGGCTGCTTCTATAAATAGAGGGGGGGTTTCAATTCATTTTCTCACAACAAAACTCATCTATTTCTCTCTCTACTACTCTCTTATACAATCTTATACTATCTCATACTAATATACTATCCTATAATCTTTTGTATTTTCTAATACTTCCAACAAATGGCTTCTGGGTCTGATTATGAAGAGCAACATGCAACTCCTACCGATCCAGAGATGAGTCCTCCTACAACAACTCCTCATCCTACCGGTGTTAATCCTGAATCTGGTGGCGACGAATCTACGGCACCAAGAGCTCCAAAAAGGCCGAGGTCTGATGTATGGAATTTTTTTGAGAAGATAGACGTCACCAAGGATGAACACGGTAGGATCATCTCTCAGAATGCGAAATGTGCGTTGTGCGGCCAGATATTCAAAGCTCATCATAAGAGCGGCACCAACCATCTCAAACGGCATATTGAAAAACACAACAAAGGCCAAAATCTACAAGGTGATATCCGGCAGTCTATGCTTTCCCAATCATCCTCTTCAGGTACCCTCGGCAGTTGGAATTATGACGCTGCCCGAGCCCGGAAATGCGTAATCAGGTTTATTGTTCTTAAAAACCTTCCTTTTAAATTAGTAGAAGATGATGAATTTGAAGATTTATTTAGAGATGGTTTTTATCCTGCATTTACAAAATTTTCTCGTCAAACCTGTCAACGTGATATTTTAAAATATTATGTTGAGGAACAGGGAAAAATAATTTCTTATTTTAAAAATTTAAACTGCAAATTTTCTTTAACTTCTGATATTTGGTCATCTAGAGTGCAAACTGGTTATTTATGTATAACAGCACACTGGATTGATGAAAGTTGGAAAATGTTTAAAAGAGTTGTTTCTTTTATTGCAATTGAAGAGTCACACACTGGTATTAATGTTGCAAATTTAATTGTTGAAGAACTTATGAAACTAGAAATTGATCAAAGAATATTTACTCTTTCACTAGATAATGCAAGTAATAATAATGTAGCTGTTGATTTTCTGAAAATAACTTTGTCATTGCCATGTCATGGTGAGCTTTTTCATGTTAGATGTATCTGTCATATTTTAAATTTAATTGTTCAAAGTGCATTTTCTGAAATTAAACCCATGATAGAAAAAGTTAGAACAGTTACTAATATGCATAATGCTTCTGAAATGAGAATTAAAAGATGGAAACAATGTTGTAAAAGAAAAAATTATAAGCCTAGACTAATTCCAAAAGATGTTGACCATAGGTGGAATTCCACCTATGCAATGTTATCTGTAGCAATAGAATATAAAGAAATTATAAATGATTTTATAAATTTTTATGCTTCTAGTTCTAGCTCTGGTAGTGCTTATGGAATAACTGAAGATGAATGGACAGTTATATGTAAATTAAATGAGATGTTACAAGTTTTTTATGATGCTACTATGTTATTATCTGGTTGTTATTATCCAACTATTACTTTAGCTGCTTTACAAATTTTAAATATTCAAAAAAATTTTACAAAATATCGTATGGATGATATTTTTGGAAGTATAATTTTTGAAATGGAGAGTAAATTTAATAAGTATTTTAGGCCTATTCCTCATATTTTTGGTATTGGTGTTCTTATTGATCCATGCTTGAAGGAAATTGGCCTTCGAAGTTTGTTACAATCATTGTATGGTGGACAGATTATAGACTTAGATGATGGATCCACCCTTACTGCTACTACTCATTATGTAGCTATTAGAAATTATTTTCAAACCTTATATGATGAGTATGCAGCTAGATATGGTGTAGCTACACAACAGTCTTCAGCTTCGGCACCTTCAGCTTCGAGCACAGGTCGAGGTAAAAGTGTAAGTTTTGATAGGTATGCAATGGTAGCTGAACTAACTGGTGGATCTGGAACTTCATCAGGATTAGAGGTTTCTGAAATAGACGAATATTTATCTGCTTCCTTAGTTAAATGTCAAGGAAATGCTTTAGATATTTTGCAATGGTGGAAAGTATATGGATCAGTTTCATATCCTATACTTTCCACCATGGTTCGTGACTTACTATCAGTGCAGGTTTCGACTGTAGCCTCGGAATCCGCTTTCAGCACAGCAGGACGTTTGATCGACGACCACAGGACATGCTTAGATCCGTATACTGTACAAGCGGTGATGTGCTTACAGGATTGGTGGAGATACGAGAAGCGAACACAAGGCATCGAACGGATTGCTATGATTGAAGATAAATTTGAAGAGTTGGGACTAGCAGATAGATATAATGATTAGATAATATTCATAAAATTGTAATTTTTATTTCTTAGCTTTAAATTTGAATTAAATTATTTCAAAAAAAGTTATAAATGATAGTGATATGGGTGAGTAGGTGCCAACCTAGTTGGGATGTACTCATCTATTGTGATGCGACGAATTTCAAAATAAATTTATACTTGTAAAGGATTTACCGATTATTAATAAAGAAGTTATTTTTATCATTTTTTGTACTTGTAATTTATGTCATTTCATTTCAAGTTATTAATTAAATTTATGATATTTTTTATAATAATTTATGATTTATGGTTTTGTTAAAATTTAAAAAAAATAAAAAAAAATTATAAAAAAAACAAACCGGGCCGGCCCGGTGTCCGGCCCGCTCAGGCCCGGGCCCGGGTCCGGGCTTGGGTTTTGCCCGGCCCGGGCCCGGTTTCCCGGGCTGGGCCGGCCTGGATGGACAGCCCTACCGTAACCTATAAATAGTAGATGAAACCAAATCTCTTCAGTCACCTAGTAACACCTCAGCCTTCACATCCCTTCACATTGGATTGAACTGAACCGTTGTATTAACCTTCTCAACTGAACATGTTGTCCGCAGCTAAGTATCTTTGTATCTTAGCTGAATCAATTGTATCTTCAACTTATTTGGTTGTACTACCTCTATATAAGCCTGTTGGTCGCAGAGTCACGCCCTCACGTCGCGGAAGCGATGTCACCTGAGAGATAGCCCTAGTTTTTGTTATCACAAAAGCACAAGTCAACCTCTATATTCTTGTTTCTCAAAAGGAAACTAGAATAGATAGTGAAGTTCTTATTTCTCAAAGGAAACAAGAATCGAAAGTGAGATATTTCAACAAAGTAAAATATATAATCTTCCTCTCATCAGTTCTAGGACTGAAATGTCGAGGGAACCTATAAGCAATGGCAACTCACAGTTAAGACAATACATACACGAGATTTACGTGATTCGGCAAACTTGCCTACGTCCACGGGAGGGGGTTTTAACTATGAGGAGAATACCAAACTATTACAAGTTCTCTCTCAACTCACTCTTTCTTTTCTCTCAAAAGCTCCACACAACCCACTCATTTTCTACCTCACTACCTCTCCTATTTATAGGAGAAATTAATGCTCCCAAGAGGTGCAGAGAGCATGGGCATCAGGGCTATAGGAGCATGGGAGAGAGGAAGTACTTGTGTCCCCATGTTGTCCTCTCACAGCATGGGCAAAAGCCCCTTGTACCCCCCTAGTCCCACGTTCACAACAAAGCCAATGGGGAGATGTAAATAAAATTAATCCATTGCAATATTTTGCATGGTAATCTAGCAACTTCAATGTCAAGGAAATACTTCAAAGTACACAAATCTTTAATATAGAAATAAGACTGAAGAAACTTCTTGAGAACACTTATATATGGCAATAGCATCATTACCTGTGATAATGATACACCAACGCAACTATAAAGCGTGAATCTTTAGCAGATGCCAAAAAAAAAACATGTTTGGATTGTGTGAACTCTGCATCAAGGAGTGCTAAGGAAAATTTCGCAAACAGGTTTCGGGATGCTTGCTTGAGGCCGTGCAAAGATTTGTGGAGATGACATGCACGATGATCCCCCTGTTAAGAAAAACCAGGTGGAATTGACGTATACACTTCTTCGCTCAAAACACAGTGGATAAAGGTATTATTGATGTCCATTT